ATTCACCAAGCGGGGTTGACCATCCAGCCCAACAAGTGTGCCTTTGTTCAGCAAGAGGTCCGCTACCTGGGGCGCATTGTTGGACGCGGAGTCATCAAGCCTCAACAAGACAAGCTCCAGGCAATCCGGGACTGCCCGCGGCCAGAGACCAAGAAGGGGGTCCGCTCTTTCTTGGGGCTCGCAGGTTGGTACCGGAGATTCGTCCCCAACTTTGCCACCAGAGCAGCCCCTCTCACCAATCTCACCAGGAAGGCTGGCTCAGTCCGAGTCAGGTGGGAGGACCAGCATGAAGCGGCCTTCAACGACCTGAAGGAGGCCCTCTGCAGCGGGCCAGTACTGCAGAGTCCAGACTTCAAGCAGCCGATGACCGTCCAGACTGACTCCTCCGGTGTTGGTCTGGGGGCCGTGCTCCTTCAAGGTGAAGGAGATCAGCAGCGACCTGTGGCTTACATAAGCCGCAAACTTTTTCCAAGAGAGACAAGGTACTCTGCTGTTGAATTGGAGTGCCTTGCTGTGAAATGGGCCCTTGACTCCTTTCGTTACTATCTCTTGGGTCGACAGTTTGTTTTAGAGACTGACCACCGGGCCCTGAAGTGGCTCGGGCAGATGAAAGACACAAATACCCGCACCACCCGTTGGTTTTTGGCCTTGCAGCCATACAGTTTCGACGTCCGCTATCGGGCGGGCACGCAGAATGCAGTGGCGGATTATCTGTCTCGCCACCCAAGTGGCGAGCCTCCAGAGGAAGGGGGAAATGTGAAAAGGCAGCCCTCCCTTTTCACAAATGCCACAGAACAGCACGCTACAATGTAGCTGGCTAACGTCACACACACCTGCACACACCTCCATACACAAGCCAAACACGCGAATCTGAGACTTTCACTCGCGGAGCCGGCAACCGCATGTGAGAGCTCTTTGTCACGCCAACACTCCAAAAACTTTCAGTACTTACCTGAGTGACCAGCCATCGCAGCGTTCGGTGAGGTACCCGCCGATATCGCTCCATAATCCCATACCGCTCCAGTTTCCACACAGTGCGCACACAAACACAAACGCACACACACTTCCTGGTCCGACAACTTCTCCTCCCCTGGGAAACACGAACTGTGGGTAGGGGAATAATTTATGTCTCATTCAGCCAATCAGAGGCTTTGATTACCTGACGGGGTGAAACTGAGTGTTTGATGCATTTAAAATGCTATTTTTAGGTGTAATGTTGATGTAATGAGAAATGTGTTTTATTGAATGTAGGCATACAGTAATGGGGTTAATGTAGATTGCTTAGGCAGGTAATTTAACAGTGAAAATGAAGTGGTGCATTGTTTCAGCTGTACCTTTTTTCTTGCATAGTGGTCTCATCCAATCAGTCAGTGATTTAGTCCAGTAGGCATGCAATTTGCCAATTATGTCTGTTTGTATAAAAACCCTACTTTTTCCTCAGTTTTTTTTGGGAGGCTAGGAGAAAGGTTGGTGCCTGAGACTGTCGTGTTCAAAAGAGGTACTGCTCTCTGTGCTTAGATTTATTGTTAGTTATTATTTTGAACAACCATCGTGTTGATTTTGTTTATGTTTTGGAAAGTCTTTTTGTTACTGCACTTTTTGGTTAGAGCACTGTAAATAAATATACACCACGTCATTTGCACTGGACCTCCTTGTTGAGTGCTTTCATTCCATTTGGTGGCCATCCTGCAGTGAAACCTGAGCCAGAGGGCTCACCAATTTCACATTTGGCTTTACCTTGAGCTATAACACACACCAGAACCAAGCAGAGGAACAGACTGAAGGTAAAGAACAGCTTGGTACCACATGTTTGTCACACTGATATATCGAAGCTCGTCAAAGCAGCTCAGGTGTCTTGATGGAAACAAAGTAACACTAATTAAGTCAGTCTGACTATATTTTTTGTTCTGTATTTTGTTCCAAATTTACAGATACAGGTTTATTATATGATTTTATTTTTTATATTTGTATTTATTTTGATTCCTTATTAACTTTCAGGCAACATATTTGTTTTGTTTTTTTTATTTAAGAGGGTAATAATAAAATGCCCAAGAATTAAATTCTAAAGATAAAAGATTAAGTAAAATAGTCTTTATTTTATAATTAGTTATTGTATGTTCCATTTTTGGACAATCATCACTACTTTTGACTCAGAAGGGTACTCATGGTAAGACAAAACGACCAAAAGGGTACACAAGACAAAATAAGGTTTAGGAATCACTGATCCAAAGGGAATTTTCATGCACAAGCATATTTCAGGTTTGCTGAAAATTAAGATTTTTTTAGTGCAGTTCTGTAAATGTGTGAGGAGAGGCAATGGAAGTTTAAAACCCATGTGCATGGTGGTGTAATGGTGGGGGGGATATTTTCTTGGAAACTTTTCTATCAGGTTAGGATCACTTAAATGCCACAGTCCATCTAAGCGTCCATCTCTTTGTGACCACTTATTACCCATCTGCTGACTGTACCTTATAGCAGTGTAATGGACCATATCAAAAGCTCTGAACATCTCAGGCTAGTTTTTTGAACATGGCAATGAGTACTGTACTGCAGAAGCCCTGACAGTCACCAGAAAGCCCAAAAGAGCCCCTTTGTTGTGGAATAATGTGATTGATAAATGGGCACCTGACAAATCTGTATCTGCAGCAATTGTGCAATGCGATAACGTCAACATGGACCACAATTTGTGAGGAATGTTTTAAGACCTCATTGAATCCATTCAATTAATAATTAATGCAGAACTTGCAAGATTAATCTATCCACTGACTGCAAGTCCAAGTTCTCGGTTTGTGGTGGAGCTGGCTTCTGTCCAGGACATCTTTTATCCATGTTAAAGTGTCCTCACTTTTATAATGATCAGTAAAACACTTCAGTTCTTGCTGTTTCCCTTTTTAATAGGATCATATTATTGAACTACAGTACTTATCCCCAACTCCCCCTCAGACAGTATTATTGGGTTTCACATGAACTCAGTGTAATTCACTTAAAAGAACTCTTTCAAGAACTCACTTTGCCCTAAAATTAGCTAACAGCTCCAGGTTTTTGAGCAGAATTAAAAAAAAGTGCACGACAGAAAGAACAAACCTCCAAATTCGGGATGTTTTATATCTTGCTTTACCCAGAATCAGGTTAGTTTCAGCCAAGTTCCGCTCATGTTTGGATCCTTGCTGGAACAGGTGTGGATGTGTTGAGGCTTCTCTGATTCATTCGTTCTACACATTTTTTGCATTTGAAAAGTTTTTATCTGAATTTTTTTATGCCCTGAATACGGGAATTGATTTAAACCAGAACCTTAACCCTTTACTCCCTCTCTTTGTTAAGGTCAGGGGCCGTTTTAATCTTCCAAACATTTTGTTGCTGCTCTGTGGTTCCTTTTCCAAATAGGTGAGTCATAATGGAAAAATTTTACCTGACCTACCATATACAAAGACTTCCAGACTTTATTTCCACTGGGTTAAAACGATGGATTGTTCTAAGAACAAGAAATGTAAAGAAAAAAAAATCTAATGGAATCTAGTGTTATGTGTGTAGAATTTACTTTCCAACCCGTTTTATTTGGATTTGGTTCCTTCCTTCAGCTCTGCTACATTTGGCTGGAAGAAACTGGCCAACTGTCTTGGATCTCATTGTGAAGCTGTAGCAAAGAGTCTCTTATATATCTATAGTATGCATGTTTGTCATGAAGTAATTTATGTAAACATCTTTTATATGTTCAGACCTCTCATCTGCATCGGGTGTGGAAGTTTGTGATCATTTACTTTTGTCATAGAAATAAGCCACATAAAATAGGCTTTAATGAATGATTGAAGGTCTTATTGTGAAAATTATATATATAAAAAAAGTTATTGGTCGTTTCCTTTAAGATAAAAATACAAACAAATGTAATAGCCCCATCTTCTTTTGCACACCAATGTCACTAAGGAATTGGAGATTTATGATAGTTCTTGTGGGAAACTCAAGGATTTTCATCTAAACCTACAAAAATGGAAGATATCTAATGAGCTGCTCATAGAAATGAGTCTCAGGGGGTGGTTACTCAGCAGCTGTCACAGATAGGAAGCCTGAGGATGACGTAATATCTCCTGCCAGCTTCTTATTGTTATGGCTGTTACTGTTGCATAACTGAAGGCAAATAAATGAGTGAAGTCAGTGAGGAGAAAAGGGGACAAAATAAAAAATACAACTAAACAGATTAAATAAATTTAACCATAGTATAAATTTGAAATAAAAAAAACACAATCTGTTGTCTTGCTTGTGTGTGAAGCTCCACACAACTCCGTTTGCATACCGAGACTCCATGATGTAAAGAAAAAGGGCCATTTTGTGAGGCAGCTAATGAGAACGGGGCTAAAGCTGTCAGCTGAACTTAGGATCATCTTTAGTGCATGGAAATCAGCAACTTATTTCCCCTTTTTTACTAAGACTAATGCTCTAAAACAGACAATATAGATAATGTGAAGCTGCACATCTATTTCCATTGCAAACTGGGAAGTTGTGTTACATCTTCTAAACAAGGCAAGCATCAATTAGACAGGATTAAAACAACGTAAAGATTTAAACTAAAAAGACAAGTAAAACTGTTTAAAGTTCAACTGACCAGTGCACTCCTGGAAATGCACAGCATGATGAGAAGTTGATGGGGAGAGGGGACAAAATGAGTCCTGTCTAATTGATCAAAATGAAACAGCTTTCTGCAAAACCGCAATTTTTGAAAATAGAATAAAAAACAGATGCAACCAAAATACACCTGCATTATCTACATAACTGCATCTTTTAATGTTAACCAGGGAGTGTTTTCACTGGGTTTTAGAGAAACATGAATAAAACACAATTATGAATTTGCAATGATACCCGCAAAAAAAAAAAAAAAAAAATATATATATATATATACATAAAAAATACACATCTTTATTGTCTTCTGCATCATTTCAGTGATGATAAATCCATGCATCAACAGCAGAAATCAAGATACGGCAGCAAGAGAGGGATCAGCTTCTTACCTCTTTCGGCTGTAGGGAGATTCTGTCTCCTGTCTTTTATCTCTTTGCCGGTGTCCGTGAAATATTTACCCACTCAGAGAGCTACAGTGGCTACCGTCAATGCTGGACACTCTTGAAAATTCATCATCCTCAAACAAACGGCTCAGAGACATGCCAACATAAAATATAATCAGAGAAAAAAAAAGGAGGGATAAATGTGACAGCTGCTAAAATATTAAACGGTCAATAATGATAGGGTTGTCTGGTGACAGTGGAGAGGTGCTTGTGTTGATGGATGGACGAGGAGCTCTTGGTGAGCACGGGTTAGTGAAAAGAAAAAAAAAGAGAGAGGGAGGGATTAGGATTGAGGAGACACCCCTAAGGGACTCTTCATCGTTGCATTGTAGCCCTTCGTCAATGCACGCCCAAGTGAGTTCAAAACGCTGCAGTGACACGATGTTGCTCCAAGATAATCAATCTGTTAACGCAGATTAGTGGGGTCTAGCCTCTAAGTCGCTCTGCTTCCAGAGGCTCACTTATACCACCGACCCCCACTGAACATTGAAAAGCTCGCCCATCAGACCAACCAATCTCTGCCCAGAACACCAGTGTGAGCCCAGACCAAGTTACAAATAAAAACTATAAAGAAATGTAAAAGTCTCCCTAAACTGGATGCACTAACTGTATGATGGGGAAATCTTTAGTTCACCGCTCACGCCCTGGATGCAAAATTAAGCTTTTGCGAAAGCTAAAAAAGTAAATGTCTCTGAATGTAGAGGAAGAAGCATGAACAGGCACACAGTTAAATTTGGGGAGTAGAAGGAGGGGGAATGCAGAGAACATGAAATCCTGAGGAGAATAGAAATGCAGACTCCCAGGGAGGGATGCTGAGAGAAAGAGGAGGGAGGGTGAAAGAGATGGAGCAACTAACAATGAACAGAAAGGGGCAAAGCAGTCTGCAATGGATTTGTAGGGGAAGGCATTTTCCAGTGGAGGCTGCAGGACATGTGATGAGTGCACGTTTGGGGAGATGACTTGTGAGGGACTGGAGACAGAAAAGTGATGAAAACACAAGGAGGTGAAATGCAATGAAAATTTTCTATTGGAGAAAAGGGGGCAGAGGAGCGGGGGGGGGGGTTGGTTTTTCTGTGTCACTGAAAGAGAGTGGGGGAGGGGAGATAATGCAACCAACGGGAGCAAACAGTAGAGAACCAGGGATCATACTTGCACTCTCTTAGCTTATAGATAACGTATATACAGTTTTGTATCTGGAAGGATGATGGGGAGGGGAAGGGGCCAGATTGACTATGAATCCCAAACAACGAAGCAGCATCCATCACTCTGGCTAACAAATTAAAAATCACAGCTCTTAAATATCATTCATTTAGTGTTTAATTGGAAAAGCAAACTAGCAGTTGTAATAATTGGTAGAAGAATAAAAAGTCATTGCTCTTGTTAGACACAGTATTACACAATATTAATGATCAAATTACTCAAAAAAAAGAACATAATACATTTTGATTATTAAATTTAAAAAGCCTTCCAATGAGAACCATTCTTTTGTTAGTCAAGAGCTAGAACCATCATCCACATAGAACACATCCTTTAAATTTAGACAGAAACCATAGTTTGCATATAACCTTCTAGTGATTTATTTCTGTAATTTTTAGATTACATCCTCAAAGTTAAAAGCTTAATTCTCAAACAATTGAGTAACACCATCATGTCCCCATTATTTCAAACAGATTCCTGTGTCAGAAACCAAACAGCTTGATATGTGAAGACTCTGATGGGAATTTCCAAACTTTAGTGGGATTGTTTTTATCTTGAGAACAATGCATAGACTTTTTGAAACGTCTAACAAGTGATCTAAGCTCTAGTAAAAAGCATGTTTGTTTCTACAGTATACCCTAGCATCTTTCTGTAAACGTCTTTCTTTATACATTATAATTTAAATTAAGACATCATTGCGTTCAAAAATAATCAGACCTGCTTTTGCAACAGTAACACATTTTAGTGACTTCCTTAATAAAACTTCCAATAAAGTCTAAAGTTTGTTGTTTTTGTGTTCCTTTTATATTCACAGTCTTTGACTGGGCTTGGATATTCACCATATTGTGGGAAACTTTCATGTTTCACACCTTTTCTCTCCCCCTCATTTATTCGTTATACCTTTAAAACTAAACAGAAAAAATCCTTGCAAAATGTCTCCCCTTCAGCTCTAATTTAAAACCGTTCTCTTGCTTTGATATACCCTAAAAACGAATGAAAATCTGTCACACAAGAAAAACGAATTGCACTAAGTGAATATAAAATTAAACTTGTAATTTCTTTGGCAGTTTTATAACATTTCTTGAATTCAAGCCAAGTGATATCAAAATATGAAAAGAGCCCTGAGCATTTAAATTATCAGCTTGTGGTAATTTAGTGGAACATACACAATAAAGTACAATTTTTATAATTAAAATTGATAAAAAGACTGAGTAAGCTTCAGCTTTTGAATGAATAAGTCTAAAGTGATTATTCAAAAATAAAGGAAGTAAACACCCTATTGCACCAAACCACTTCTACACTACACACTATTTATGCACTGCTGGATAGAGTGAGATTCATTCATGTAATGAAGTGCACTTTCCTTACCGAAGAGTAACTGTGCAAACAATATCATAAAATCCGTTCAGTCCGGAGCCTCCCATGCTACAGAGATGTAAGGTGTTAACTGGTAGTCGACCAAAATTAAAACCCTTCCCCACCTTCAAGTCCCCAACTCCTTCAAAAATCCTTTCCTCCTCACTTTTGTCTACCTTGGCCAGAGTGAGGTGGTACTGTGGATTGTAGGAGTGCCTGTGTAGCCAGCCCTCCTTCCTGTAGGCCTCCTGCAGGCCTGAGTTCAGCTGGTGGAGGGACAGCCGAGGGTTGGGGCTCAGGTAAAGCACCTTGCCATTGAAATGCTTCAGCTTCCCTGGAAAGGTAACCGCCACGGGCGGGTTGCGATCCAGCTGGGCGAACCTGCGGAGGATCTCGGCTGCAGCTGCCACCTCGGCTGGGCCGTCAAGCACCAGTAGGCACAGGGTGACATGGAGCATCGAGGCGGCGTGCCAGTAAGGAGCAGAGGAGGGAAGGAGGGCAGTAAGCTCCTCCTGCAGCTGCTGGAAACTGGAGAGGATAGCAGGGGTGTTGGCCCGGAAGGTGATGAAGTGAGTGGGTTTTTTCTTTGGAGGACGACTGCCACTCTTCTGCTCTGCCTGCTTCAGAGATGGATTCTAAGGCGGAACAACAAAGCTGGGATAAATAAATAAAAACTGTAACCATAATGTTGTCTGTCAGAGCAAGAAGCGCCATGCACACCTGCGTCTCTTTGCCGGCTTCTAATCTTTCTTCGCAGGCTTCATCAAGCCGCTCTTCTTCTTCCTCTTTCAGCTTCATGACCTTTTCCTGAAATGATGACTCTTGCTCGGATGATGGCTGGAGTCTAAATTGCAGCCAGGAAAGTAGAGAGAATATACCCTTATTTAACATTGCTCAGTTGCATTTATTAAAATACTAAATTAAAATCCCCTTGTCTGAATTCAAAGAAGTTCAGTGTATTTTAACTACTTCAGAAAGGTTAGAAAGTAATAATTCTCTAAATATTAAAATGCAGGATTTCATTTCATTCAGTCTTTAAAGATCTGATATGAATCCATAAAGACGACTGTCATTAAGTACTTTTAATGAAATGAAGTAAAGTTCCATACAGGGAAGTTCCATACAGGGAACTTGTTCTTTAAAGAGTTAAACATAAGACCCACAGTAGGAATAGATAACAGACCTATTTTCAGCCTCCTCTGCAACACATGATCCACAAGCTTCCTTTTGTTTCTGAGAAGCGTGAATCTCTTCCAGCTCCTCTTCATGCCTGGTTCTGGTAGGAGTTTCTCCCTCATCCCGACCACCTGCTGCACCTGTCTGCTCCTCTGTCTTTTCAGAACCAACATCTTGTTCTTCTTGATCCTCTGCATGGTTCTCCTCTGAAACAACGACCATTTTCAGTTAGGGTAATAGTGTAAATGTACAATGCTTTTCAGGAGTGCTCATACATCATGCGTGCCATTAAAACCACTAACTTTAATGTTTGTATTGGGTTTTAATGTGACTGAAACGTGTGACTATTTGCAGTGAAATGAGAAGGAAATTAAAAATGTTTCAAATGTTGTACAAGTGCATAAAGTTAGTCAGGAAGGGTGGGTATTTGCATTCAGCATCTAAAAGTCAGTACTTAGCACAACAACTTTTACTGCAAGTCTCTTGAGGTACTTTTTTTTACCAGTTTTTCACTTTGGGAGACAGAAATAGTTGGCTGCTTGTGTGCAAAAATTGTTTATTGTCTAAATAGGCAGTCTAACTGTTTCCTTAGGTCAGACTCAGAAGTTGATTTTGACTGGGCCGTTCTAACACATCAATACCCTTGAAGTTAAACCTGCACTGACTGTTTGTGGTGAATAGGAAGCAGAACCTGGTCATTCTATATTCTTACCTTCACCTATTGACAAAACATTAGGATCATAACCAAATGAACCAGATATCATAAGATATTCAAGATACAATGCTGGCTGCTCCTAGAAGTACAGGGGGAGATGTATAGAAGTCTGGAATACCAGTAAATATTCAATCCCTGTAGCTCTGGCTGCATGTCTTCGTCCAGCTGGAGGCCTTTTTTCCCCCCAGAGTATTTTTCTATACAATCACATTGCATGAAATAAACTGAACAAAAAAAAGCTGGATTGGTATATTAATTTAAAGAAAATATCATTGAAGCAAGCTGTAAATGTACTTTTAATTTAGCACAAATTTCTACAATAAAACATTTTATAATAGGTCTAATGTAACTTTTAATTTTAAATGTTGCACCTATATTAGCTAGACACAGAAAATCATAATTAGCTGACTTTAAAACATTAGTCTCTCTGTAATAAATCTGTACAATAACTCATAAATGTATTTATTGAATTGTTACTGAAATAAATCAACTTTGTATTAATATTCTAATTCATTAAATACGATTGCATTTAGCTCCCTTCTCCTTCGCAACAGGAATCAAACAGTTTTTTCTGCTGAGGAAAAGGATCCCAACAACATCATGCAACCATTTTCAGATGATAGATTAAATGTTCTCTGAGAGATGATTAAAGCTTGGGACATTAATTTATTGCCATGCTTTAAAGCTGAAGTCTGTAAGTTTTTAAAAATCACTTTTTTGTCATATTGGCTAAAACTGTCCCTATGCCCAGACAGCAGTACATGTGATATGTAACCTGTGAAAAAAACTGCTTCAATTGGTACCGCCTACTGCCTGTATTTCAATCTGGAAAGAATAATTCGGGACGATTTAAAACAACCAATCACAGCCAGAGGAGCGTCTGATGGAGTGTCAATCACAGCTCACACACGCTGAATCCCCCCCCTCCTTCTGGTCGCATGCGGTAGCCGCGCAGATGCTGTGAGAGGGGTGGAGCTTGGAGGTGGGGCATGAGTGAAGCAGAGAGGGTGGGGGAGTGGCGTGAAACCTGTTTTTCTTCAAATTTTCAGTAGAAGTCTGCTCTCTTCTCAATGTTACAGACTGCAGCTTTAAACCTTACTAATGTTCTCCAGCAAATACTTCAAGGCTTTAAATCCAAGCTACACCTTTAAGATTAGTTCCTGCAATTATAGGTGTAGAAACTCTGTATCAGCTACACCATAGTGATCAACTTTATGGCGATCATTTGCGTTATTTGAGAAAAAAAAAAAAAAGGTAGAAGAGGTAGTAGAGTTATGAATAATTGTGCATGACACATTGTTTTGCTAAATGGAAACCTACTCTTACCTTTTACTTCCTCCTCCTTTCCAAAGGGGGGAGCCAAAGATTGACCGGTGGAACCAAAGACCCTGTCAGTTCTGCTGTGTCGGTCCCAAACGTGGTGCCCTTTGTAGGCAAAGTATTGGATCCTGTGTCTGGGCAGAGCCAACTCAGTGGAGTAGTCACAATCACAGGGGTTGGTGTCCCAGTTGAATTCACAGAAAGGCCGCTCCAGAATGCCAAGGAAGCGGTCTATGTAGCCCACCACAAAATCTGAAGCTTCTACTGATGGGTCCCACAGGATGCGAGAGATAACATCGTCAGCTGTGCGCATACGGGGCTTTTTGTTCACATCTGCTGGAAATAACTCAATCATTCCCATGCAAATAAAGAACAGTGAGACAAATAAAAACATACAAGTTTCTTCAGATTATATTGGGAATTATCAAATGAAAAAGTTAAGGTGAACAAATGAGGAATGACCTTTATCCTTGTTGTCTCTAGGCTTTGCCCCTTTGTTCACAGTGCCCTTCTTCTTGTTGTGTTTCTCCAAATTCTCGACATTCTGTTGGTCATCTATGTCAGCGGATGGAGCTGCCGATTCATACGGTGATGAGTCACTTTAAAAACAAAAAAAAACAAAAGAAAAAATTTGCTCACGGAGGATGACAAATGACAAATGAAACTGGGGAGTGGCGGCCTAGTAGTTAGGGTATAGGGCTTTGAATCCTGAGGTTGTGAGTTCGATCCCCAACTCCCACAGACTGCCACTCTGGCTCCTTGAGCAGGACCCTTAACCCCGCACTGCTCCCCCAGGTACCACACAATGGCAGCCCACTGCTCCCCAAGGGGATGGGTTAAATGCAGAGAAGTAATTTCCCTCTGGGATTATTAAAGTATAAAAAACTAAATAAAAACAAACAAAACGAAAGGGTTTGGAGACAAATATTAAATGTGACAGATCTAGATAGTCCCAATAACCTTCTCTAAAATTAATAAAACGTAACTGATAATATAAGGGTAATAAAAGTGATCCGAATATAAGAAGTTTAATAATTAATGTTCTAATAAATTCCCAATTAGAAACTAAACAAACTAGAAATCAACTAAAACAGATAAATTATAAAATAAAAATAAGCACAAAAAACTGAGTTTACAGAGTTTTTTTTAAGTCTTGAAAAATAATCAACTAAATATAATATATTATTTCTTGTGGGACAGAAAAATGACCAGGGGAGTAAAATGTACAATACAGTACTCTACATGGAGTCTTTTTTCCCCTTACTCAGAGATTTGTTAGATTAATATCCAACTTCCTGTCTCTCTTATTTGTAGGACTTTGACCTGCCTATAACAGTTTAACCAAACTCCTTTTTCAACTCTCTGCTGGTCATCTTTGACCTAAAGCAGGAAGGAAACGTCTCTGAATAAAAAAACATTTTCACAGTTTTAAATAAATCAAAATAAGTAAAACATTTAGGATCCTATATTAGCTATAAGTGTATATGAAAGAGAAAACGTCTTTAAATGACTACTATCAGTGTTGCTAATATCTAATGAAAACTTTATGCTCTCATATCTGGAGATTTCCTTTAAAGCGGTGCTTCCCAGACTTGTCTCGCCGGACCCTTCTTGTTGCGACGGATAACATGGTGAAGATAGCAAACCTGTGTGATAAACGGCATTTGCTTCCGAACCGGCACTTTCCCATCTGGAAAAACTGGCACACTTTTGATTCCTCCTTCTGCTCTGCAGACTCTATGAATAAGATCGACATTAAACAAGACAGGGTGAGGATGTGCTGTTAGGTTGATTAAAAAGGGTATGGGCTCTGCATGTAAACACGCTGGCAGACATTGTTGCTGAAAGGTCACTGAACGTGATGATTTAGCTTTAGAAAACAAACAAGAGATGCACATGCTGTTCGGCTGTTTTAAAGTAAAGTGAGAATACCTCTCTGACTAAGCAGAAGATTAATTAACCAGGCAAAATGAGAGCCTAAATATGCTAAAACAAGTATTTTCTGAGCATTTATTGCAGTTTAAATGTTTCTCTTATTACCACTTGTACACAACAAAGATTCTAACATGAAAAAATATCTTTTTTTTTCTCCCTCCGATACCTTGAGAGGGCCTACAGTTTAACAGCTGTGAATGATTCAAACATGATGAATGAAGAGTATGTAGAGAGGTCAAACCAAACGCATATCCTGATGTTTTACTTTTGGGAAGGGACTGAATGTAACTCACAGCTCAGTTACCTTAACTATGGCTGTTGGGCTGACCCCAGCTGGACAGGAAGCATTTGACCTGATTCCAGTTATCAGAAAAATCCGGGAAGTAACAGGTTTTTTTTTCTGTTTTTCTTGTTCTTCAGAAGTTTTATCTGGATTAAAGTAATGGACTCAGATGTTGAAGCAGACAGTATGATCTCTCATCCTTTGGGAGGTAGAGGCTTGAGCTTTGAGTCACTGAAGCCAGGAACTGCTCCAGCAGAACATTCTGTCAGGAAGTGAGAAAATATGTCTGCAGCCGTTACATCAAAAATCAGCTGTCTGTGTCAGTATTAGAGAATCTGGACTCATGATGACATAGCTTAACTGGAATCCCAGCTGCTGAGGGTGAAAGTTGGAAAACAAGCTTGTTTTTCTTTCTGAAATGGTGATTAGTTGGAAAAGTAGATAATACAACTCCTTTATTGCAGCTCAACACACACTAAAAGCTTTGTGCCAAAACTAATAACGTGCACATGAATGAAGAAAATATAAAAAGTTAGTTATCAAATATACATCCCAACAATTTATCACTATATTTTGACATTTTCGGTTCTACTCATATGTGCCAAAGATCAGCTAAGGTTACTTGGGTGAAGTTAAGTCCAGTTTTTGATCTAAACCAGACTTTGTCTACAAAATCAGATGCAAGAAAAAAAACTAAAAAAAACAAACATAATTTTCTCAATACCATGGTTCGATTTCCTAAGTAAAAACATGATGTTTTCTTTCCTGATTTAACAAAATAAACAGACAGTCCCTACATATTGTTTTACAGCCAACCCACTATTGAGAACATTTCTGACAGAAAAAAAACTTTATTTATAAATGGGCAATTTGATCAGAAAAACTAAAATCAAATAGTGATACTAAAATCTCTCCATACTGGCTGACTGTCAAATTAGTCTGCCAAAGAGACAGATTCCCCCCCCCCCCCCTTTTTTTTTCTTTCCCTCCAGTTTTGTCAAGTACAACTCACTTTTATTATTTTAAATACGCTTGACTGGTAAAAAGGAACAACTTTCATGTAAAAGATGTATAAAAAAGCTATCCAGAAAAATTATAACAGAATTTGACTTGTTTGATCAGATTGTCAACATGTTATATTGATTCGTGAATTCATATCATAGAGGCATACCCAGTAAAAACTAATCTTTCTCATAAAAAAATAAATGTCTTATCACTGCACTAACTATGGCTTTCCACATGTTTAAAGTAAATATTTATTGTTCCAATAAAAAAGAGCCAAATCAGGGAAAGCAGAGGCCAGTAACAGTGGATGATGGTGAACGGTCTTCAAGGATAAGAAGAGGTTGTAAAAGATTTATCTGCAAGCAGAAACCAAGCTAAATATGTTTTTTAATGGGAGATAAATCAATGTTTATGGGATATACATTAGCCTATAACAGATACATACATATATTCCATTCAGCTTTTAGGTTCTACAGTTCTTGCTACATTAGCATCACAGTTATTAAACTATATACAGTCATATGAAAACGTTTGGGCACTCCTATTAATGTTATTATTTTTATTTCTAAATATTTGGGTGTTTGCAACAGCTATTTCAGTTTGATACATCTAATACCTGATGGACACAGTAATACTAATTGATTGGACTAACAGAAAATGTGTAGTACGCAATAAAACTAAATTTGAAAAACATATTTAAGTTCCATTATATCTATACACATATTTATTTACATACAAATAAAACTGTAACTGCCTGTGTTGCTTTATTTTACACTGTGTGCAGAATTATTAGAAAAATGAGTATTTCAACCACATCATCCTTTCCATACATGTTGTCCTACTCCAAGCTGTACAGGCTTGAAAGCCAATTACCAAGTAAATTAGCTGGTGTGCATCTCTGTAATGAGAAGGGGTGTGGCCTAATGACATCAACATCCTATATAAGGTGTTCTTAATTATTAGGCAAAATGGGTAAGAAAAGAGATTTGACAGACTTTGAAAAGTCAAAAATTGTCAGATGTCTTTCAGAGGGGTGCAGCAGTTTGGAAATTCACAGCTTTTGAAGCGGGATCATCGTACAATCAAGCGGTTCATGGCAAATAGCCAACAGGGGCCGAGAAGCGTGTTGAAAAAAGAAGACGTAAAATAACTCCCCATGAAATGAGAAGGATTAAGCATGAAGCTGCCAGGAAGCCATTAGCTGCCATATTTCAGAGCTGCAACATGTCTGGAGTGCCAAGAAGCACGAGGTGCTCAATACTCAGGGACCTGGCCAAGGTAAGGAAAGCTGAAAAAAGGCCACCTTTGAACAAGACACACAAGACAAGACGTCAAGATTGGGCCAAGAAATATCTGAAGACTTATTTCTCCAAGGTGTTTTGGTCTGATGAAATGAGAGTGAGTTTTGATGGGCCAGATGGATGGGCACCAGGCTGGATCAGTAAAAGGCAGCAAGTTCCTTATCAACTCAGATGCCAGCATAGTGGAGGTGGGGTACTGGTATGGGCTAGTATCATCAAAGATGAGCTTGTGGAACCTTTTCGAGTTGATGATGGAGTCAAGATCAACTCCCAGACCTACTGCCAGTTTCTGAAAGACCCCTTCTTCAAACAGTGGTACAAGAAGTTACCGCCTTCATTCAAGAAAAACATGATATTCATGCAGGACAATGCTCCGTCACACGCATCAAAATACACCACAGCGTGGCTGGCCAGAAAGTCTAAAAGGAGAAAAAAATAATGACATGACCCCCTTGTACACCTGATCTGAACCCCATCGAAAACCTGTGGTCCTTCACGAAATGTGAGATCTACAGGGAGAGAAAACGGTACCTCTCTCTGAACAGTGTCTGGGAGGCTATGGTGGCTGGTGCAGGCAATGTTGATCGCAAACAGATCAAGACAGTGATAGAATCTATGGATGGAAGGCTTTTGAGCGTCATGGAGAAGAAAGGAGGCTATATTGATCACTGATTTGTTTTTTGTTGTTTTTGAATATCACAAATGTTTATTTCTGAATTTTGAGTTATATCGGTTTACCTGGTGAAAATAAACAAGTGAGATGGCTATATATTTTCATGTTGCCTAATAATTCTGAACAGTAATATTTACCTGCACACACAGACCTCCTCATAAAATGGCCAAAAAAAAATAAAAAATAAATAAACTTCAAAAAATATGTAACTTTGATATAGGAGTCTTTTGGTTTGATTAGGAAAAAGATTGTGGCCCAATAATATAAATGATCCTCGAAAATACCACTTACCTAATACTTTTGCACACAGTCTTTATTGATACTTCACTATTTATTTATTTTTTTTTCACATCCAAGCTGGAAAATCTCCCTAGATTTTGTCTCAGATCTGGTCAGCTGGGTTTGAAGGTAAGAAGAAACGGCAAAATGTGAACTTTGATTATACTTGAATGACTGTAAAGGCTTGTAGAGACTAGAGTTAATAAAACGTTTTATGAGATGCAAGGGGGGACCTTCGTTTGATTAACTTTTTTTTTAAGAATGATACCGAATAACCTGAAGGAACAGTATAAATAAACTTTTACCCATTGTGTCTCGGTCAGTTTCAGCAACAGCATTACTTTCCTGTGAGTCTGTCAGGGTGATGGGCGTCAAAGAGCTCCCATCTCCGTCCCTCTGGTTCTCCGTACAATTTAAGGCAGCACTTGGGCTTTCTGACGCCATTTGTAGATCTAGGAGGCTTTCTAATGGCTTGTTGACGTTTGCCAGTAAAGGGGTTGTGAAATAAACTGACTCCGCTACCTGGACACCTTGGAAAACAAACACGGAAGTGAGTAGTTAGCGATCCACTGCTACAATGTATGCAAATCAAAACACTCATACGCAAAATCTAAGAAAGCGTAGAGTAAAAAACATCTATAAATAATTAAATATATAAAATATAAGCCAAAATAAATATAAAATACCAATGTTTGTATCTATCGTTCCCGGATCCATATATTTTCGAATTGAATCATGGGTAATGTCGTTTTTTTTAAACAAGGAAGCAAGGTAAATTTATAGCTGAAAATTCAACGTTATAATAAATAAATAAATAAAAACAGAAAAACGAATATATGGTGCTCTTCTGTTTCCAATTATTTGGAGAAAACAAATATTCAATTTAGTCTCCAGAGTTTTGACGCTGTGAACTATGCGTCATTCTCCATTGGCGAGCGCGTGCCTCGGTGTCACGTGACTTCTCTGTTGTTTGCTAACATCCCCGTGAAACAGGAACGGAGAAGTATTGAACTTGCCTTCTTTTTTTACTGTCGCTAAATTTTTTTTTTTCTTGTAAAAACATTTAAGAGAAGCTATTTCCTTACTATTAATTATGATTTAAGCGTCTTGGAAAAACTTTTAAGCAGCTAACGTTCAGTGAGGCAGCTGTTGTTTAGCTCAATATCATGTGAAGGTAAATTCTGTGTTGTGACAACATATTGATAAGCATATCTTTGCAAAGTCACTTAGTCGCTTGCAACTAAAATAAACGGCTTTATGTTAATTGTACAACGCGAAACTGTCATTTCATAGATTTGAATATAAATGTTTTTGTTTTTAGATGAACGCGCTGGTGGCTTTGTGTCATTTCTGTGAACTCCATGGCCCCAGAACACTGTTCTGCACCGAAGCGCTCCACCCTCCATCACCAGACCCTACTTCTCAGGTGGGGACCCCGTTGCCAGGCGACAGGGATGCTGATCGGGAGGGTGAAGGCCTGACCATGAGGGCCAACAGTTCTGCTACACAGAGAGGAGAGATGTGTGAAGTGAGTGGACTGAAAGGACACAGTTAACTACGCTATTTAAACCAGCTGTTTTTTTTAAGTTTAATTCTCTCTATCCTCTTTCTACTCTTCCCAGGGTTGCCGATCTCTTCCTTCATCTCATCCCGGCTTTGTGAGCATCGATGAAGAAACAGGCATTCGCTTCTTGAGCCATCAGCATCCCAGGCAGTCCCAGCTTTTCAGTGTGGTCAGGCAGGCCTGTGTACGCAGTCTTAGTTGTGAGGTAAACTAACCTAAAGAACCAAGAGCTGAAATATCTTGAAATTAATTCCCAAAAAATTAACAAACCTTCATGCCAAAATTTTAATTTCTTAGGTAAAAAATACAGCAGTTAAATCATTTATAGAATGTGATGTAATGTGACCATCACAGTGAATCAATCAATATGAATATTCTGCCCCAAGAATACTAAAGTCATGGAAAAAAATATTAGATCTACTTGTTGGGTTCATCAATATAGTGTTTTACATGTTTAATACCTAGAGAATACTATTACAAATAAGAAAATTGGGTTCTATTTTTTTTAAACATACCAGCTCAGCTATAGTACAAGGTGGAAGGACAGCCTTTATGGAATTGCTAACACAAGCAGGTAGCGTAATAGTAGCTCAATCCTAAATTAGATTGTTTACCTGGACTAATGTTGTTTTAAGAATTAGGTTAGAAAGGTCATTAGGCATTGCTCACATAAAAGGAATATTGCAATCGTGCGGATATGGTTGGTACTTGTTACTTGAGGGTTGGTTTAAAGAATTGTTTCCCAAAGTTTGGGCCTTCGGGTCCTCTAAATTAGTTAAACTAAACATTATAGGTTATAGTGGTTGTTAGTTGCAGCCCTAATTTCAATTCAACAATACTCTTTTATTCCAGAGGAAAGTTAGATAATTTAATGAAATTTAGTCATTCGACCATTAACATAGATTCATACGCCGATGAGGCAAGCTGCATCGCAGCCACAGCTGTCTTTGGGCAGACTTACAGATGAGAGGCACCACCAGGCCCTCTGTCCACCAACCGCAGGCAAGCAAAGTGAGGTTGCCCTATAGAGTTAAATTCTTTCTGTTGTTCCATCATTTAAGTTCTAGTAAACAAGAACGCTAGGACCCTTTTTACAACTGGATCCCCGCTCTTTTTCGCCCTTGTGTCCCTCTTTTGTCACACAAACTTGCCCCCACTTCCTCACTTCCGTATCTAGACCCACAGCTAGTTCGTGATTGTCCAACTTGCGTTGTGCCGTGGAACAACATACCGTAGACCACGCTTCAAAATGGGCATCTGCGACAAGCTCACTGAGACACACGCTGCGGGAGTATAACCAGCTCTTTACACAGCGTTCTCAAAGTTTGGGCCTTGTTATTCTTAAAGAATGTGTAGCTCAGCAGTAGGTTGATTAACAAAACAAACAAGAAATAACTAACCTGAACAGAAAATAAATAAAGAGCAGCAACTCTTTCTTAAATACCTTGAAAAATTACTAAAAGGTCTGAACCCTTGGAGGCGTGATGTAAAAAAATTCTGTTTCTAATCATTCCATGAAATCAGTTTTAGTTCTTGTACATTTTTTTAGGTAATCTTATTCCAGTTCCTTTGTTTTCAGGTGTGTCCTGGTCGTGAAGGGCCCATTTTTTTCGGTGATGAGCAGCATGGATTTGTGTTTTCGCATACCTTCTTTATCAAAGACAGTCTGGCTAGGGGTTTTCAGAGGTGGTACAGTATAGTTTTGGTGGCCATGGACAGGATTTACCTTATCAACTCCTGGCCGTTCCTTTTACGTCACCTCAAGCTCACTATACACAGTCTGCAAAGCACGGCTTTAAAGGTAGGGCATTAATTTGAACATGCAACACTAATGAAAACAAACCAATACATTTGCCTCATTTTTCTCAGAAAATAATCTTTTTTTTTTCCCTATCAGGTGTTTGACAGTGAACAAGGAGTTTGTCCACAGAGAGCTCTTAGGATGAACAGTGTATTCTCCCCTGCAGTTTTCCCCCACCAGAGGAGTGGCAATGCAGCTCGATCACTGACCTCCCTCACCCAGCACCCCAACCTCTGGGCTAGTTTGCACTGTTCTTTCAGCTGGTGATTTAATAACCAACCAAACTCTTATCTCACCATTACAGAATTTATTTTCTTATAATGCTAACCATGTAACTGTGTTTCCTTTCTTTTTCCCAGGTTGCTAAAAGCTAGTGGTAGTCGCCTAACAGAGAAGCTCCTCGAAGGGGCCCCCACAGAGGACACACTGGTGCTTATAGAGAGACAAACAGGTATACATGTTTACATCAATCAAAAATAGTTATTTTTACCAACCTGTTAAATGTGTTATAATCATTTTATATCTGAGAAAGAAAACGAGAAGAAAAAGAATAGAGCCAGCAGGATGTGATAAAAGATTGGCCTGGTGATAGATGGTAACAGTCGGAGCCACGTGTTTTGTTAGTGTGTTGGTTTTCCCGTTTTAAAGTCTGAAAACACTTCTTAAAAAGTCTGAGTCACTGAATGTTTCAGTGCAGGGTCGCTGCAGCCAGTAAAACCATGACAACACTTATACCTCGCCTTTTCCCGGCAGCTCCTACATTATTTAATCCAGGTCTAGACAATTACACTCTTTCAAGGAGTTAGTCTGTAAAAAAATAAGACCCTGTTCCTCAATGAGATTTTAACATTTAAAGAAATCAAGGCAAATGTATTTGATTCACCTCATCACACAGATTTTAACATTTTACCCATTTGTTTTATCTTTTTTTATTTAGTTTTTTTCTTAATGGCTCAATGCACACAAATTCAAAATTATATAAAGTTCTTTACAACCTGAATTTAAATCTTAGTTGTGATCCTTAAAGATATTGTGGATGATTTTCGCGAATTTTAAAAAAATTCCTAAAAATCGAATTTTAATGCTAGGGCATGCACAAGCCCATTTCTCGTCGTGCATATTGTGTTTAAAAGTTGCTGTTCTCATAGCTCACTCAAGCCCTAACCCCTAATTCTCTCAATCGCTAAATAGATAGGGGAATATATCGTGGACTTTATAGCGAACTCAGCTAACTTAACCGTTCAGACAGATGATCACTGCTCCACTGCGCGGTGCGGGCACCATCTTCATTATTAGTCACCACCGCTGTCAGGTAGCAACAGCTTATGGTGACAGCAGGCTGCTGTGACAGGAAATCCCAGAATGCCTTTTTGAGGATTTACCATTTTCAAAGAACTGAGGTGAGAAAGGTGAGCTTCAATGACTGCCTGAAACCGTAGCCCATCACACATATACGTCTGAAAGTGCGCATGCGCAGAAAAAGATGGCCAACTGGACGAGCACGTACTGTAGGATGGCTTTACATAAACGTATCCCCAGAATGATTGACAATTAGAAGGAACACTTATTTTAGATGATCCACCTGGAAATAAAAGATTATCCTCTATACTTTTAAGCCAGGTCTAGTTAAAACAGTAAATGGAACAGAACAGTGATCTGTTTTGGAAATTTGATTGATTTTTCACAATGCTGTGTGAACATGCTCTTTCAGAAAGGAGAGAGGAGTTATTCTATTATCTTTTGAAGGGAGGTTGCAAAAGATTAGTAACTGGACCAAAGGTCTACCATCCATTAGGAAAAAACATGCAACCAAAGCCATAGTGGAATGGTTTCTTGTATGTATTAGAATGGCTCTGGCAAAATTTAGATTTCAGTCTGTAGATGTGCAAACGTGTTACAAACATAGCCAAAACTATGGAAGTCTTCCCTTCACTTTAAGACTATCACTTTTTGTTAGTTTACGAGCTTGAGTGTTTCAAAGCATTTTAAATACAATAGAATGTAGTCAGGGGAAATTTGCAAACTTCACTGCTAGTTTTGATCTCTCCTTTGTTCCCCCCTGGATGATAGAGATTTGCCGCCCCTTTATCACACACAGCTGGACATGCACATTAATTGATCATTCCATCTAGACAAGTACTCAGGTACACTGTTCGCAGTTGGAAGTACTATCTTTCTTTGTTTTCACAGTAGGGGCCAGATGAGGGCAACAGTAAAGTTATTATCACCAAGATGGTCAAATTTAAGCTTCTCCTAAATTGTTTTACCAATTAAAGTTGTAGGGAAACGGTTGTTCCAATCGTTGCATTTCCAAATTCTCCCGAGGGATGCACGACTTTACACGAGTGAATAAAGTGAATGTGATTGGTCGTTTATCAAGAGAGTGGGATTGTTGTGGCGGAAGGTTCACAAGTAAGTGTGATTGTAGCCAGTGTCTCGG